ACGTGGTGGTGCACCTGTAATCCCAGCTACTCAGGAGGCTGGAGTGCAGTGGCACGATCTCAACTCACTGCAACCTCCACCTCCGGGGTTCAAGTGATTCTCTTGCCTCAGCCTCCCGAGTAGCTGGGACTACAGGTGGGTGCCACCATGCTCAGCTAATTTTTTGTATTTTTAGTAGAGACAGAGTTTCATAGCCAGGATGGTGAACAGAGGAGAACCCCTTGAACCTGGGAGGTGGAGGTTGCAGTGAGCTGAGATCTCACCACTGCACTCCAGCCTGGGTGACAGAGCGAGACCCCATCTCAAATTAAAAAATAAAAAGGGTTACTTTCGGCCAGGTGTGGTGAGTCACACTTGTAATCCCAGCACTTTGGGAAGCCAAGGCAAGTAGATCACTTGAGTCCAGAAATTTGAGATCAGCCTGGGAAGCACAGTGAGACCCTGTCTCTACAAAAAAATACAAAAATTAGCTGGGCATGGTGGTGTGCACTTGTAGTTTCAGCTACTTGAGAGGGTGAGGTGGGAGGATCATCTGAGCTCAGGATCATGCCATTGCACTCCAACCTGGGCAGCAGGTGAGACCCTGTCTCAAAAACCAACAATGAAAACCAGTACCTTCGTAGCATTATTGTCAAGATAAGTAACACATAAATGCAATGCAGTACAAAAGCCAGAGTCTAGTTGACTGGAGTAAGTGCTTAAAAAAATAGCTATTAATGGCTGGGGGTGGTGGCTCATTCCTGTAATCCCAGCACTTTGGGAGGCTGAGGCAGGTGGATCACAAGGTCAGGAGATCGAGACCATCCTGACTAACATAGTGAAATCCTGTCTTTACTAAAAGTGCAAAAAACTAGCCGGGCATGCTAGTGGTGGCACGTGCCTGCAGTCCCAGCTATTCGGGAGGCTGAGGCAGGAGAATCGCTTGAACCTGGGAGGCAGAGATCACAGTGAGTCCAGGTGGCGCCACTGCACTCCAGCCTGGGGGACAGAGCAAGACTCTCCCCACCCCCCCCAAAAAGCTATTATTAATAGTTGCCATTAATAGTTGATCACTTTATGCAATTTACTTCCATCGACTCTCCAGCAAGAGTCCTGTGAGGTAAGCACTATCATCCCTATTTAGAGTTTCAGAGAGGTTTAGAGGCTTCCCAAGATCACACAATATATAAATAGCAGAACGAAGATTCAAAACCAGGTCTGTTTGTCTCCAGAATCCTTGCTCTTTACCAGGCCACGTACAGAGACGTCATGGTTGTTCAATTCATTCATTTATTCACTCTCTGAGTTTACAAAATGCTTAAGAAGTGGTAAGATAGGCAGGGCGCAGTGATTCATACCTGTAATCCCAGCACTTTGGGAGGCTGAGGTGGGAGGATCATGAGGTCAGGAGTTCAAGACCACCCTGACCAACATGGTGAAACCCCATTTACTACTAAAAATACAAAAATTAGCCAGGTGTGGTGGCACATGCCGGTAATCCCAGCTACTCAGGAGGCTGAGGCAGGAGAATTGCTTGAACCCAAGAGGCGGAGGTTGCAGTGAGCCAACATCACACCACTGCACTCCAGCCTGGGCAACAGAGTCAGACTCCGTCTCAAAAAAAAAAGAAGTGATAAGATAATCCTTCTCTTTAAAGAACTCATAGTCTAATGGGGAAGGCAGGTTATGTCAACAAATAACTACAACTCAAGGTAGAAATGATGATTTTTGTAAATAAAGGCCAGTTAGAGATTCATTTATTCATACAACACATACTGAGATCTGCTGTGTGCTGGGCCCTATGCCAAGCACTGGGTGTAATTGAAAGATAAATATGGTACAGTTTAGTCATAATCTAATGGGAGAGACAGGTATGTAAAGAAATTATTATAGTTATAAGGAATTAGGTTATGATTTTAAAATATGAAAAAATACAGAGTGGAAGAAATGAACTGTGTTGGCGTAGCAGGCAGAGGCAGAGACTGAATAAACTTTCAGCTGCCAAAAATGTAAAAGGAGCACAGAAAATGTGTCATGGCAGCTGAGGGGGGTATGCCTTTTCTGGGGGATGCAAGAAGGCTTCATGGAGGAGGTGGCACGTGGGTTAGCACTTGCTTGATGGGTAGCTTTTAGTAGAGGGAGAGTAGAACCAGAGAGAGCCTGGAGGCCTAGAAGCCAGTTACAGGGGAGAATCATATAGCAGGACAAGCAGTGAGGAGGACAGGGCAGTGACAGTGGCAATGAGGAGGGAGTGGTGGGAGGGATGCCAGAGAGGACTGGTGCAGTGGGAACAAGTCTATGTTTTTAAATTTTTTATTTTATCAGTATTATTATTATTATTATTATTATTATTTTTTGAATCGGAGTTTTGCTCTTGTTACCCAGGCTGGAGTGCAATGGCACGATCTCGGCTCACTGCAACCTCCGCCTCCTGGGTTCAGGCAATTCTCCTGTCTCAGCCTCCTGAGTAGCTGGGATTACAGGCACGCACCACCATGCCCAGCTAACTTTTTGTATTTTTAGTAGAGACGGGGTTTCACCCTGTTGACCAGGATGGTCTTGATCTCTTGACCTTGTGATCCACCCGCCTCGGCCTCCCAAAATGCTGGGATTACAGGCTTGAGCCACCGCGCCCAGCCTTATCAGTATTATTTATTGGCTGGGCACAGCGGCGCACATCTGTAATCCCAGCACTTTAGGAGGTCCAGGCGGGTAGATCACCTGAGGTCAGGGATTTGAGACCAGCCTGACCAACATGGTGAAACCCCATGTCTACTAAAAATACAAAATTAGCTGGGCGTGGTAGGGCACTCCTGTAATCCCAGCTACTGGGGAGGCTGAGGCAGGAGAATCCCTTGAACCTGGGAGGCAGAAGTTGCAGTGAGCCAAGATCGTGCCATTGCACTCTAGCCTAGGCAACAAGAGTGAAATTCTGTCTCAAGAAAAAAAGGTATTTATTTTGTGTGTGTGACGGACTCTAGCTCTGTCCACCAGGCTGGAGTGCAGTGGAGCAATCTCAGCTCACTGCAAACTTTGCCTCCCCACCCGGCTAACTTTTCATATTTTTAGTTGAGAGGCCTGTAATTCCAGTACTTTGGGGGGTCAAGGTGGGTGGACCACTTGAGGTCAGGAGTTCGAAACCCGGGTGGCCAACGTGGTGAAACTCCCGTCTCTATTAAAAATACAAAAATTAAGGCCGGGCGCGGTGGCTCAAGCCTGTAATCCCAGCACTTTGGGAGGCCGAGGCGGGTGGATCACAAGGTCGAGAGATCGAGACCAACCTGGTCAACATGGTGAAACCCCGTCTCTACTAAAAATACAAAAAATTAGCTGGGCATGGTGGCGTGTGCCTATAATCCCACCTACTTGGGAGGCTGAGGCAGGAGAATTGCCTGAACCCAGGAAGCGGAGGTTGCGGTGAGCCGAGATCGCGCCATTGCACTCCAGCCTGGGTAACAAGAGCGAAACTCCGTCTCAAAAAAAAAAAAAAAAAAAAAAAAAAAATACAAAAATTAGATGGGCATGGTGGTGCACACTTGTAGGCCCAACTGCTCTGGAGGCTGAGGCAGGAGAGTCATTTGAACCCAGGAGGCGGAGGTTACAGTGAGACAAGATTGCACCACTGTACTCCAGCCTGGAAGACAGAGCAAGATTCCATTTCAAAAAAGAAAAAAAAGAAGGAAGCCTACCTGACTATTGCTTCTCCCCTGCCATCCTTCTCACAGCATAAGTGTTATTGTAATGAAATGTGCAGAGGGAGTAATTGGCTCTGTCTGGGGATCAGGAAACCTTTCCCGAAGGAGGTGAATTTTCAGCTAAACTTCTCAGGATGCGGAGTGCTTCCTCTAGTTGTGGGAGAGAGAGAGGAGGATATTTCAGGTGAAGCGAACAGCTTTCCCCATGGTGGTAAGTTGCTCAAGGGCTCAACGGCACAGGCTCCTAAGAGCAAGGGAGCTTCCATACTTACATGAGGCACTTTAAGAAACACATGAGTTCAGTTGGAATTCAGACCTTCCACAGCTACCAAAAAAGCCTCGTGTGGGAAATCGCTTTTCCAGCCTCCTGTAGGGGTCGCTGCTGCCCCAGACTCAGCCAGTCTATTCTAAGAAAACTCTTGAGGACGTCTTTGCCAGGGTGGTGGTGGGGTGCACCCTGGACCTGCCACCATCCAAGGAGTGGCTCAAGGGTGGCAGTGCCCCCAAGACTGAAGAATATGCACTCAGTCAATGGCATTTGGGAGTAGGGAGGGGGTGTAGCTGGCACTGATATTTTTCAGTCTCTGGGTCACCACAAGTTTATTAAAATAAAAGAAACTGTGGGTAAATGCTGCCATCTGTGCTGTCCCCACTACTAATACACACAAACAGGCACACACACCCACAGACACACATAAACACACGCGCGCACACACACACACACACACACACACCCCAAGTCCCAGACTAGACGCAGGAGTTGAAACTGCTTTAAAAACCCTCTAAGGACTTAACTACAAACCCACACTCCCCATGCTTCTGGGGCTTAAGATCTTTGAGCTCATTCTTCAGCATCTCTCCTCGGGAAGGTGGGGTGGGCTGCTCCACGGGGTGGAGGTGAAGACCCCTGAGTCTGCTCCGTGGAGAGGGAGGCCCCCTAAGCCTAGAGTCCCACTGTGGGGCTCTGTGCCAAGAGCCCCCGTGAGCCATAGCCTCGAAAGGGCAGCGGTGATTTTTTTCACATAAATATATCGCACTTAAATGAGTTTAGACAGCATGACATCAGAGAGTAATTAAATTGGTTTGGGTTGGAATTCCGTTTCCAATTCCTGAGCTCAGGTTTGTAAAAGATTTTTCTGAGCACCTGCAGGCCTGTGTGTGTGTGTGTGTGTGTGTGTGTGTGTGTGTGTGTAGTATTTTCACTGGAAAGGATTCAAAACTAGGGGGAAAAAAAACTGGAGCACACGGGCAGTATTACGCCATTCTTCCTTCTTGGAAAAATCCCTCAGCCTTATACAAGCCTCCTTCAAGCCCTCAGTCAGTTGTGCAGGAGAAAGGGGGCGGTCGGCTTTCTCCTTTCAAGAACGAGTTATTTTCAGCTGCTGACTGGAGACGGTGCGCGTCTGGATAGAGAGCATTTCCACTATGGGACTGGGTACAGACACACGCCCGGCAGACTTCAAGAGTCTCAGACTGAGGAGAAAGCCTTTCCTTCTGCTGTTACTGCTGCTGCCGCTGCTTTTGAAAGTCCACTCCTTTCATGGTTTTTCCTGCCAAACCAGAGGCACCTTCGCTGCTGCCGCTGTTCTCTTTGGTGTCATTCAGCGGCTGGCCAGAGGATGAGACTCCCCAAACTCCTCACTTGCTTGCTTTGGTACCTGGCTTGGCTGGACCTGGAATTCATCTGCACTGTGTTGGGTGCCCCTGACTTCGGCCAGAGACCCCAGGGGGCCAGATCCGGATTGGCCAAAGCAGAGGCCAAGGAGAGGCCCCCTCTGGCCCGGAACGTCTTCAGGCCAGGGGGTCACGGCTATGGTGGGGGGTCCACCAATGCCAATGCCAGGGCAAAGGGAGGCACCGGGCAGACAGGAGGCCTGACACAGCCCAAGAAGGATGAACCCAAAAAGCTGCCCCCCAGACCGGGTGGCCCTGAACCCAAGCCAGGACACCCTCCCCAAACAAGGCAGGCTACAGCACGGACTGTGACCCCAAAAGGACAGCTTACCGGGGGCAAGCCACCCTCAAAGGCAGGATCTGTCCCCAGCTCCTTCCTGCTGAAGAAGGCCAGGGAGCCCGGGCCCCCTCGAGAGCCTAAGGAGCCGTTCCGCCCGCCCCCCGTCACACCCCACGAGTACATGCTCTCGCTGTACAGGACGCTGTCCGATGCTGACAGAAAGGGAGCCAACAGCAGCGTGAAGTTGGAGGCTGGCCTGGCCAACACCATCACCAGCTTTATTGACAAAGGGCAAGGTGAGGGGGCGGGGTGGCAGGGGCACGGCTCAGAGGGAGGGGCATCTGCATGAATGGAGGGGCTTTCAGAGCCCTGGCACAGCCCTGGTGGGAGACGCTGTGTGCATCTGGACCGGGTTGGGGGTCTGGGGACACTGACACATAGCGGATCCCAGGCCGCCTGCACATCAGCGCTGGAGGGCACGTAGGAATCACTAGGTCCTATGCCTGCAAGGTGCAGAGCAGGCACTAAAACTGGAGAGGAGACAAAACCTGCCAGTTGGTGGCAGCGTTGGAGACCAGATTCCAAGACTTGATTACCCAGCTGTGCATCTGTACCTGCTGGGCTGGCCCAACTTTCCAGGTTCCAGGGGTTTGTAGGTAGTCTCAGACGGCAGAGAAAGAAATGAATCTTGAGCTCCCCATGGTTCTGCAACAAAGGGGATAAAGGAGGCGAGATAGGTGCACACAGTAAACGGGGCATCTTGGAGTCATGGAATGACGTTTGGATACATGGGGAGGGAGTAGCCTAGGTTCTGCCTCACAGTGTGACCTTGGGAAAGCCCCTTCTCACTTGAGGTCTCCATTTTCCCATCTGTACACCTACAAGGGGTTGGACAGGGTGGTTTCTGAGAGCCCTTCCAACACAAAAACTTTAGTTCCTGTCCTGAACATGCCTCGTTCTCATTAACCTGGGAGAATACCTGCTCCCCTCTGTCTCTCTCCGCCCACCTGGTGTTACTGTCGCAGCTTTTCCTTTCCACTTGCTGTGGTATCTAAGCAAGTCCCTCCCCATCTCAGGGCCTCAGTTTCTTTCTAGTGTGAAGAGGGAGGTGGGCTATTGGTCGCTTAAGATGCCTGCAGCTCATTTGCTCTTGTTCCGAGTCCTAGGCTGGCAGCGTGGGGGAGGGGTCAGAGGGTGGGAGAGGCTCCTCATTAGAGCTGGCCCGGAGGGGGCTGCCAGGGGGCGGGGGAGGCACAGAGGCAGCAGGTCTGGCTGAGGTGGGGGAGGTGGCCTGGCTGCCTGCCCAACCAGGGAAAGCTGTGACCCCTTGGGGGCTCATAAAATAAGTCCTTGTGCCCCCCAGCACTAAGGAAGCGTGGGGAGGGGGAGATGGGGAGTTTAAAGGCCTAATTAGTCACCTTCTAGAGTACTATATGAAAGTTCCCCAATGCCAAATTGGTATTTAGGAAGGACAGCATGCTGATTCGGAGATACTACTGAGCTTCTCACACACACACACATAGCCTTATGTTTATACTCATGTGCTGAAGCACACACATACACACATACTGAATCACACATGTATGCATGTGCACACACACCTTCTTACATACACACACAAGATCGATTATACACATTATACATCTATGTGCCCTTCAAATAGTCACACAAGCCCAATCATGTATACTCTTTATACTCATACATGAACCCAATCTCACACACACATACGAACTGTCACACACTCACACACTCAGGAGGGTAAACACATAGGCAACAAAATCCTTATACTGGGAAGCCAGGAAGAGTGAGCTGTATGTCAGTGTGGACCAGCTTTATCATTAACTTGCTGTGTGACCTTAGATAAGTCACTCCCTCTCTCTGTGCCTCATCTGTAAAATGACACTAAGATCTCCTTTAAGGGATGGTGGAAAAAGCTGAGAATTGAGTATAAAAAAACTCTAGGCGGTGGCTTACGCCTGTAATCCCAGCACTTTGGGAGGCTGAGGCGGGCAGATCATCTGAGGTCAGGAGTTCAAGACCAGCCTGGCCAACATGGTGAAACGCCGCCTCTGTTAACAATACAAAGAATAGACCAACATCATGGCAGGCGCCTGTAATCCCAGCTACTTGGGAGGCTGACACAGGAGACTCACTTGAACTAGAGGTTGCAGTGAGATGAGATTGCGCCATTGCACTTCAGCCTGAGTGACAGAGCAAGACTCCGTCTCAAAAAAAAAAAAAAAAAAAGCTCTAGACTAGAGTTCCAATTCTGTTTTTTTCTAGCTGGGTGACCTTGAGCAAGTCATCTAAGTTTTCTGAACCTTGGGATTCTCCTTTGGAAAAAATGTGTAATTCTTTTTGGAGCCAGGGTCTTGCTCTGTTGCCCAGGCTGGAGTGCAGTAGCATGTTCACAGCTCACTGCAGTCTCAGCCTCCCTGGGCTCAGGCAATCCTCCCACCTCAGCCTCCTGAGGATCTGGGACTACATGTGCATGCCACCATGCCCAGCTAATTTTTGTATTTTTTGTAGAGACATGGTGTCACCATGTTTTGCAGGCTGGTTTTGAACTCCTGGCTCAAGCAGTCCACCCACCTCAGTCTCCCAAAGTGCTGGGATTACAGATGTGAGCCACTGTGCCCAGTCAACGGGAGTAATTTTAATGCCCACTCCACCTATCTCGGAAATGAGATATCACGTTAGCTTGTGGCTGGGAGAGAGAGAGATAGAAGGCAGTTACAAGGCTGATAAATCTCTGATACACATAGATCATGACACAAACACCCAGAACCACTCCGATCATTCCCACCCACATCTGCAGATGAACACCCCTACTTGACTGGCTGTGTAGGAAGTGCCCTTATTTTGAAAAAGGCTCTCAGTGGTTTGGTTCTTGGCTTCTGTCAGAATAGGGCAGAGGTGAGAGAAAGCTCTCTGGAGGGAGAGAGAGCTGGGGCCTTCCCCTACAGCCTCGAGGTGACTGGCTGGCTCCCTTGTGAGATTGAAGGGAATGACTTCTGGGTGTTCTCTCTAGATGACCGAGGTCCCGTGGTCAGGAAGCAGAGGTACGTGTTTGACATTAGTGCCCTGGAGAAGGATGGGCTGCTGGGGGCCGAGCTGCGGATCTTGCGGAAGAAGCCCTCGGACACCGCCAAGCCAGCGGCCCCCGGAGGCGGGCGGGCTGCCCAGCTGAAGCTGTCCAGCTGCCCCAGCGGCCGGCAGCCGGCAGCCTTGCTGGATGTGCGCTCCGTGCCAGGTCTGGACGGGTCTGGCTGGGAGGTGTTCGACATCTGGAAGCTCTTCCGAAACTTTAAGAACTCGGCCCAGCTGTGTCTGGAGCTGGAGGCCTGGGAACGGGGCCGGGCCGTGGACCTCCGTGGCCTGGGCTTTGATCGTGCCGCCCGGCAGGTCCACGAAAAGGCCCTGTTCCTGGTGTTCGGCCGCACCAAGAAACGGGACCTGTTCTTTAATGAGATTAAGGCCCGCTCCGGCCAGGATGATAAGACTGTGTACGAGTACCTGTTCAGCCAGCGGCGAAAACGGCGGGCCCCACTGGCCACTCGCCAGGGCAAGCGACCCAGCAAGAACCTCAAGGCTCGCTGCAGTCGGAAGGCCCTGCATGTCAACTTCAAGGACATGGGCTGGGACGACTGGATCATCGCACCCCTTGAGTACGAGGCCTTCCACTGCGAGGGGCTGTGCGAGTTCCCTCTGCGCTCCCACCTGGAGCCCACGAACCATGCAGTCATTCAGACTCTGATGAACTCCATGGACCCTGAGTCCACACCACCCACCTGCTGTGTGCCCACACGGCTGAGTCCCATCAGCATCCTCTTCATTGACTCTGCCAACAACGTGGTGTATAAGCAGTATGAGGACATGGTCGTGGAGTCATGTGGCTGCAGGTAGCAGCACTGGCCCTCTGTCTTCCCGGGTGGCACATCCGGAGAGCCCCTTCCTGCATTCCTGGAATCACAGAGGGGTGGGGAAGCTGCGGCAGGAGCATCTCCACTGCTTGCGTGAAAGGGGATTCCAATAGTCTTGCTCGCTCTCTGAGTGTGCCTTGGGCTAAAGGCCTCCTTTTATCCACAAGTTCCCCTGGCTGAGGATTGCTGCCCGTCTGCTGATGTGACCAGTGGCAGGCCCAGGCCCAGGGAGACAGACTCTGAATGGGACTGAGTCCCAGGAGACAGTGTTTTCCCATTAGACTCAGCCCACCACTTCTCCTCACCTGGGCCTCCTTGGTCTCTGGCATCTCCTAAGCACCTCTCGGGAGAGCCACAGGTGCCACTGCCTCCTCAAATCACCTTTGTGCCTGGTGACTTCCTGTCCCTGCAACAGATGAGAAGCTGATTGGGCAAGGGTGGGAGAGAAGGGGAGAGGGCTTGGACAGGGTTGAGGAGTGTGAGGCTGTTAGACTGTTAGATTAAAATGTATATTGATGAGATAAAAAGCAGAACTGTGCCTAAAACTGTGGCAAATTTCTTGTTTACTCCAGGGGACCCAGTGACCCCATGAAGAATTACTGACCTGGAGTGGGGAGTTTGGTTGCTTCACGTATGAACTCAGTTTTCAGAGCCCCATCCCCACCCCTGCTCCTGGAAACTAACGTGTTTGACATTAGTGAAGCAGAATGGGACAGAGAGTATGGCTTAGCAGGGCCAGGGCTCGCCTCTAACCCCATTCCTGTTCCTTCCAAAGGCCCCTGGGTTTTGAGTTGTATTTGCCCCATTGGGGCCTGGCAACAGAATTAGCTTTTCTTCTTGACATTCCTTAGTCAAGTTAGTTGTCTTCAAAATGGATCCCTAAAAAGGAGCGAAATTGGGCATTTGTTTCTTCTAAAATCATTCCTATTTCATTCACCAATATCTGCCTGCCCCTGCCACCCCCATACTCATAGAATTACCTGGGCACCATTGAAAGAGTTCTCTGCCTGGCTTGGTGGCTCATGCCTGTAATCCCAGCGCTTTGGGAATCTGAGGCGGACAGATCACGAGGTCAGGAGTTTGAGACCAGCCTGGCCAATATGGTGAAACCCCAGCTCTACTAAAAATTACAAGAATTAGCTGGACTTGGTGGTGGTGGGCCCCTGTAGTCCCAGCTACCCGGGAGGCTGAGGTAGGAGAATCACTTGAACCTGGGAGGCAGAGTTTGCAGTGTGCTGAGATAGTGCCACTGCACTCCAGCCTGGGCGACAGAGCAAGACTTCATCTCAAATAAATAAATAAATAGAGTCCTCTGTCTCTCCCCTGGGGAATCTGGGCTGCCAGGGCTCTCCTCCTCCCTGTTGGAGCATTTCCTCTCACCACCGACCACTGTTCCTCAGATGACCTTGCCTGTGACCCTGTTGCCCTCCAGCTTGGCACCCTCACTACTCCTCACTGCTTGCCCATCAGCCCCCAGCTTCCAAAACAGAATTGGAGCCCCTGTCTTTATGTTACATATTATATAAATACATAATTATAAATCAGATAAATAAGCTCCCACTAACCTCAGACAGATCAATGCCAGGCACATCCTGACAATGTTTCCTGCCTGGGGCTTGGCCCAGAGTAAATGCTCACTTCCTTTTCTCAGCTGGAATGGTAGGGGAGGCACAGGACACAGAGTTTTGGGAGAGGAACACAGCCCTCTGGTGGGGAAACAGGCATCTGGGTGTCTTGGGCTGAGGGCTCGAGTTCTACCTGGCTGAAGAGACACAGGGAGAACCAGGAGCAGGCTAAGCCTCCACTTCCCACACAGAGGGCCTCAGCATTTTCCCCCACCTCTCTCCAGCTGGGTCTTTGATTCCCGGGGCTCCTCGCCAAAGCTGTTTCAACAAGAGGGACTCCTGCCCAGCTATGGGCAGACCTTGTGCACTTTCCCTCTAGGCATGAAGCTTGGGGTTGTCAGGACTTGAACCAAGAGCACAGTGAAGGGGGAGCCTACCTTTGAGCTGCCTCCCTGGGCTGGAGGCCATTACCTGTGTCTGAGGAACCAGACTGAGCCTGGAGCATCCCTTCGCTGGCTGGGCTTCGCTGTGTTTGGCTAGTGGTGGGCCTGGCAGCTCTGGAGGTAAACAAAGGAGCCACCATGGCAGACAGAGCTCTGGTTTGTGTGAGGGGAGAATGGCCTGGAAGGGAGGTGCTGGAGAAGCCAACGAGGGAGCTGGGGATCCAGGGAAAGCAGTGGAGAAGCCGGGGGGCCAGAAATCCAAGGGCAGAGAGACAAGATGAAAGGGTTGTAGGTGGGGCTGGCTCCCACAGGGACTTATCTCCTGGGCTGCGTGTCCCTGGTTTCTTGGAAAGTTCTGACTGAGGCTGGGCACGGTGGCTCATGCCTGTAATCCTAACACTTTGGGAGGCCAAAGTGGGTGGATTGCCTGAGCTCAGGAGTTCAAGTCCAGCCTGGGGAACACGGTGAAACCCCATCTCTACTAAAAATACAAAAAATAAGCCGGGCGTGGCAGCGTGCACCTGTAATCCCAGCTATTCGGGGGGCTGAGGCAGGAGAATCACTTGAACCTGGGAGGTGGAGGTTGCAGTAAGCCGAGTTAGTGCCATTGCATTCCAACCAGGGTGACAAAGTGAGACCCCGTCTCAAAAAAAAAAAAAAAAAAAAAAAAAAAGAAGGAAGTTCTGAAACTGGAGCTTCTCTCTGCCTTAGCCCTGTCAGAGAGGTTCGGGTCATCTGAGCCACAGTGCTCCTCCTGCTGAAGGCCTGGGCTTCCAATGGACTGTTTGGATCCACACCCTAGGAGTTTCCTTTACCACCTCAACCTGCCCCAGGGCTCTCTTTCGGACTGTGCAACCTCCTGCCTTTTCCCACCCAGACTCTGGGGATGTGATCTGGGCATCCATGCTAACTGCTGGATCTATTCAACTGCCTTCTTGGAAAACATTCTCCCCCAGCCACCCACCTCCAGCCACAACCACAACAAACTGCAAACTGGTTCTGTTCATTCTTGCCCCAAAGGGTATAAGGCATCTATCATACTTGAGAGTTCACAAATACTCTCCCACCCATGTCTCTCAGCTCTGAAGGACTCAAAAGGCTGTACAGTTTCAAATTTCAGTTCTGTCATTTAGAGTTAGAGGCCTTGAGTAAGTAACTTAATTCCATAAACCTTGGGTTCCTCATTTGTTTAAAAAAAAAAAGAAGAATAAGAAGAAGTCTGGGCATGATGGCTCACGCCTGTAATCCCAGCACTTTGGGAGGCTGAAGCGGGTGGATTATGAGGTCAGGAGATCAAGACCATCCTGGCTAACATGGTGAAACCCTGTCTCTACTAAAATTATGAAAAATTAGCCGAGCATGGTGGCATGTGCCTGTAGTCTAGCTACTCCAAAGGCTGAGGCAGGAGAATTGCTTGAACCTGGGAGGTGGAGGTTGCAGTGAGCTGAAATCACGCCACTGTACTCCAGCTTGGGCAGCAGAACGAATGAGACTCCATCTCAAAAAAAAAAATAAAGACAAAATAAAGTGAGGGTAAACAATATGCTGCTTATTTCATGGCACTATCTGCAAGAATATGAGAAGCACTCAACACAGAAGCCAGCACAGAGGTGGCACTCAGGAAATGTTAGCTGTTACCATTACCATGCCTCAAATAGTCCTAAGAAGCAGGAAAGGCAAGAACTCCACCCTCACTTTTTACAGATGGGGAAGCTGATACTCAAAAAGGCAGAGTGATAACTACAGGTTCCTGCAGGTCTGCACTCTGCTTCTTTTTTTTCTTTAAAGACAGGGTTGGCTGTGTGCAGTGGCTCAGGCCTGTAATCCCAGCACTTTGGGAGGCCGAGGTGGGCGGATCACAAGGTCAGGAGTTCGGGACCAGCCTGGCCAACATGGTGATACCCTGTCTCTACTAAAAATACAAAAATTAGCTGGGTGTGGTGGTGGGAGCCTGTAGTCCCAGATACTTGGGAGGCTGAGGCAGGAGAATTGCTTGAACCCAAGCTCCAGTGTAGTGAAAGAGCAAGATTCCATCTCAAAAAATAAATAAAGAAAAAGAAAAAGAAAAAAAAAGAAATATGTTTAAGTGTATTTGGTGAATGGGTAAATAAAAGAAAAAAAGAAATATGTAATAGTTTAACTCAGGTAAATAAGAGAAAAAAGATAATTAAATGTTCACATGACAGAGTGGAACAATGGAGAAAATAGTAGGAAGGCTTCACGGAGGATGAGGGACTGAGCTGGGTCCTGAAGATTTAATGAAACTTGGGTGAAGTTTGTCTTGATCCATTTTCTATTGCTGTAACAGAATGCCACAAAATGGGTAATCTGTGATGAGCAGACATTTATTTAGCTCACAGTTCTGGGGGCTGGGAAGTTAAAGAGTGTGGTGCTAGCATCTGGTGAGGGCCTTGTGCTGCTTTATCCCAGGGGCAAAGGGCAGAAGGTGGAAGCGAATATGTGAGATAGAGAGAGACATCAGGGGCTGGATTTGCTTTATAACAACCCATTCTCATAATAACTAACCTGCTTCTGTGGTAACATTAATCCATTCACAATGGCTCTGCCCTCATGACCTAATCACGTTCTTATTAGGGCCCACCTCCCAATGCTATGGTATTGGGGATTAAGTTTCCAACACATGAACTTTTGCAGGACATGCTTAAAATACTCAAGCCATAGCAAGGTTCAAGGAAGACATGTTCAGCATAAGGACTATAGGAGGAAATGAATAACATGAGTTTGTGAAGTGCAGAGGACATATCTTCCCGTCCTTCAAATCATGTTGATGATTGGTTCCACTGACTCTATGAAGGATGGCTTCATCTGGGAGCTGCCAAGTCCCTTAGGTGTGCACTTGAGGCTGTCCACCTGCCTTCTGAGAGGTTGGAGAACAGAGAAAACCCAACAGCCAGGGCCTCAAAAGTCAGACATATCACTTGAGAGTTGGTTCGGAAGGAAAACAGTAGTAAAACCTGCTACCAGGAACTCCATTATATATATAGATGAGAAAGCACATATCCCTCCCCAGCAAGAAGCTGTTTTCTTTTGGGGCCTACAAGTTAAGCTGACAGTAAATACAAGGTGGAATCAATTTCTTCCTTCTTGTTACTCATGGCTGTGTTATTTAAGCAGTTAGGAGGTGGTGGGTGCATGTAAGATGATGGTGGCTGCATGGAAGAACTGGAGTACAATGCCGGGACCTTGATGTTGTTTTAACATGAGCCTCATGTTGCATGGAATACAAACCAAGCAGTTTTGCTATGCAATAATTTCTAATTGATAAATGTCGAAACATGTCAAAGCTTTCCCAACATTTTCCAAGAATACTAACTCAGATGTTCTGTTTCATCTTAGAATTAAAAAAAAAAAAAGATCCCTGAAGACTCTTTAACTCTTTCTTCTGTTAATAAGTTTAGTACAGGTATTGACTGACTTACGACCGATGCAACTTACGACCATTCAACTTTACGACCACAATCGCTAGCCACGACTGCTCTGCATCTGGCAGTGCAAACGTTGCCCAGCTGGGCGTAGGACAGTGCAGACCAGCTTCCGGCAGCACTACCATCTCCGCATGTACCATTTCAACTGTTATCCCAGACTCGGTACAGCAATTTGTGTTTCGTGTCTTGGATATTTTTCATCAAACCCCTCCCAAGATGTCTACCAAGAGGAAATTGTCTTTGTCGACGCCTCAGCCTGCCAAGAAGGAAAGAAAGGCCATCGATCTCCACACGAAAATGAAGGTAATTAAGCAGAACGAAAGAGGAGAGAAAGTGAATGTGATCGCACGTGATACGAAGTTATCACACTCTACTGTGTCGACAATTTTGAAAGATAAAGAAAGAATACTGTACATATAGCCTACTCAACTTACGACCAAATCATGTTATGACCCGTCTGTCGGAACCAATCGTGGTTGTTAAGTCGAGCACTAGCTGTATGACCATTTTTCCCTCCAAAAGGAAAATAGTTTCTTTGATTAAGCCTCATATAAGCAGTTGGCTTGCAGGTAGGGGCCATGTTGTAAGAAACATTTATCTTTTTTTTTTTTTTGAGATGGAGTTTTGCTCTTGTTGCCCAGGCTGGCATGCAGTGGTGCGATCTTGGCTTACTGCAACCTCCGCCTCCCAGGTTTAAGTGATTCTCCTGCTTCAGCCTCCTGAGTAGCTGAGATTAGGTGCTCGCCACCATGACCAGCTAATTTTCGTATTTTTAGTAGAGACGAGGTTTCACTATGTTGACCAGGCTGGTCTCTAATTCCTGACCTCAGGTGATCTTCCCACCTCGGCCCCCAAAGTGCTGGGATTACAGGTGTGAGCCACTGTGCCAGGCCAGAAACATTTGTCTTTAAACAATAGAATCACATTCAGACCAATGAAATGCATACTCTGTGAAGGAGAGAACCAAGACCAGCCATGGAAACAGCACAGATTCATGCTTTCATCTCAGGCACTGCTAGCTGATTCTTCTTTTTCTTTTCTTTTTAAAAAGATTGTGGTAAAAAACACATAACAAAATTTACCATCTTAATCATTTTGAAGTGCATACTTTATGCTGTTAACTATATTCACATTGCTGTGCAACAGATCTCTAGAACTTTTTTATCTTGCAAAACTGACCCTCTATACCCATTGAGCAAGTAAGTCCCCATTTCCCTTTCCCCCCAGACCCTGGCAGCTATCTTTCTACTTTCTATCTTTATGAACGTGACTACTCCAGGTGACTTACATAAGCAGAATCACAGAGTATTTGTCCTTCTACTTTTTTTATGTTTTCCCTAAGAAGACAAGTAAGTCAGCCGGGTGCTGTGGCACATGCCTGTAATCCCAGTACTTTGGGAGGTCGAGGTGGGCAGATCACAAGGTCAAGAGATTGAGACCATCCTGGCCAACAACGTGAAACCTTACTAAAAATACAAAAATTATCTGGGCATGGTGGCACGCGCCTGTAGTACCAGCTACTCTGGAGACTGAGGCAGGAGAATCGCTTGATCTCGGCTTGAACCCAGGAGGCGGAGGTTGCAGTGAGCTGAGACCATGCCACTGCACTCCAGCCTGGAGACAGAGTGAGACTCTGTCTTACAAAAAAAAAAAAAAAAAAAGAAAGAAATCAAGTAAGTCAAATGGGTACATAGTGTGACTCCATTGTATTTGTTGAATGAATGGACAATACCTGTCATCAAAAGGAGTTTACAGTCTAGTTATACAGACAGGCATGCAAACAAATAATTTCCATTGTTTCTTGCTTTTTATTTTAATTTAATTTTATTTTTTTGAGATGAAGTTTCATTCTTGTTGCCCAGGCTGGAGTGTAATGGTGCTGTCTCAGCTCCCTGCAACTTCTGCCTCCCAGGTTCAAGATATTCTCCTGCCTCAGCCTTCCAAGTAGTTAGGGTTACATGTGCCTGTTACCACACCTGGCTAATTTTTTTGCATTTTTAGTAAAGACAGGGTTTCACCATGTTGGGCAGGCTAGTCTTGAACTTCTGACCTCAGGTGATCTGCCTGCTTCAGTCTCCCAAAGTGCTGGGATTGCAGGTGTAAGCCTAGCCATATTTTTATTTTTAATTTTTTGAGTTAGGGTCTCCCTCTGTGGCCCAGGCCGGAGTGCAATGGTGCGATATTGGTTCCCTGTAACCTCTGCATCCTGGGCTCAAGCAATGCTCCCACCTCAGCTTCCCGAGTAGCTGAGACCACAGTTGTGTGCCATCATAGCCAACAATTTATCTTATTTTTAATTTTTTTATTTTTTTTTGTAGAGACAGGGTCTTGCCATGTTGCCCAGGATGGTTTTGAACTCTTAAGCTCAAGTGATATACCATCCAGCACTTTGGGAGGTCGAGGCGGATGGGTCACTTGAGCCCATGAGTTTGAAACCACCTGGCCAACATGGCAAAACCCGTTGTCTACTAAGAATACAAAAATGTGCTGGGTGTGGTGGCTCATGCCTGTAATCCCAGCTACTCAGGAGTCTGGGGCATGAGCCTGGTTTTTTTTTTTTAGACGGAGTCCTGCTCTGTCACCCAGGCTGGAGTGCTACAGTGTGATCTCGGCTCACTGCAACCTTACCTCCTGGATTCAAGCGATTCTCCTGCCTCAGCCTTCCAAGTAGCTGGGACTACAGGCATGTACCACCATGCCTGGCTAATCTTTTGTATTTTTATTAGAGTTTCACCATGTTAGCCAGGATGGTCTTGAGCTCCTGACCTCATGAAGTGCCCAACTTGGCCTCCCAAAGTGCTGGGATTACAGGCGTGAGCCACCATGCCCGGCCAAGGCATGAGCCTGGGAAACAGAGGTTACAGTGAGTACAGATTGCACAATTGCACTCCAGCCCAGGCAGCAGAGTGAGCCTCTGTCTCAAAAAAAAAAAAAAAAAAAAAAAAAAAAAAAAATGGATTTCATGCCTGCTTGGAAAAGTTTTCAGTATCTTCAATATTGTTCACCCCTTCTTATTTTGCCATGTTTAAGAATTGATTTAAGGCTGGGAGTGGTGGCTCACGCCTGTAATCTCAGCACTTTGGAAGGCCGAGGCAGGCAGATGATGAGGTTAAGAGGTTAAGAGATGGCCAACATGGTGAAACCTTGTCTCTACTAAAAAAAAAAAAAAAAAAAAAAAAAAAAAAAAAAATTAGCTGGGTGTGGTGGCATGTACCTGTAATCCCAGCTACTTGGGAAGTTGAGGTAGGAGAATCACTTGAACCCAGGAGGCAGAAGTTGCAGTGGGCCAAGACCATGCTACTGCACTCCAGCCTGGCGACAGAGAGAGACTTGGTTTAAAAAAAAAAAGTTGATTTAAGAGTCTTAGTAAGATACGTAAAATGCAAGACAAGATACATCAAATGTGAGTCAATAGAAAAAAAAAGTGAAGCGAACAAAGTGAAGCCAAGAATGGGGCTAAAATGTGGATCATAATGATTTATGTCTGCTACAGATGGGGAATATTTAAGCTGTCTAGCAACAAATACAAAGCAAGAAAATAGCTTATTATGCATAGGTCATTGCATCTGAGTTAATCAAGCATTGCTCAGCAGACAAATTGTACAGCCATACTTGAAAACTAATGTAACAAATATCTTCAATTACATTAAACAACAATACGATTCATATATATATACATTTATATATATATATATATATATATATATATATATATATATATTTTTTTTTTTTTTTTTTGAGACTCTGTCACCCAGGCTGGAGTGCAGTGGTGTGACCTTGGCTTACTGCAACCTTCTCCCAGGTTCAAGAGATTCTTGTGCCACAGTCTCTCAAGTAGATAGGATTACAGGCGCATGCCACCACACCTGGCTAATTTTTGTATTTTTAATAGAGATGGGGTTTCACTATGTTAGTCAGACTAGTCTTGAACTCTTAACCTCAAGTGATCTGGTGACCTCAGCCTCCCAAAGTGCTAAGATTACAGGCATGAACCACTGCACCTGGCTGATAGAATGGTTTCTTAATAAAATTGTTTGCACTGCACTAAGGAGCAAATAAAACAATTCTGTGGGGACCAAAAAGACACAGAAACCAGCTATCTGCTGGGTTAATTGGTAGGTAAAGGGCACAGACTGTTTCTTGAAGAGGAACAAACAATACAACTGATCCCATTGGCAAATAATGTCTGTAGTCATAGAGAATATATATTCTGAATGTTCTAGAACAGTTTCAGTATAAAATGCATCTTTTTAAAAAGGTCATTTGACCAGGCTCAGTGGCTCACTCCTGTAATCCCAACATTTTGGGAGGCCGAGTTAGGCGGATCACTTGAGGTCAGGAATTTGAGACCAGCCTGGCCAACATAGGGAAACCCCGTCTCTACTAAAAATACAAAAATAGCCAGGTGTGGTGGCACGCACCTGTAACTCCAGCTACTTGGGAAGCCGACACAGGAGAATCTCTTGAACACAGAAGGTGGAGGTTGTAGTGAGCGGAGATCATGCCACTGCACTTCAGCTTGGGTGATAGAGTGAGACTCTGCCTCAAAACAACAACAACAAAAAACAAAACAAAACTGTGATCTATGGCTGGGCACAGTGACTCACACCTATAATACCAGCACTTTGG